GGATTTCCTTATTTCTATACCCTCTCCAAATTCTACTCTTGGATTTGTTGATAACAACCATTCTGATAAGGGTGAGGAAATTATCTCAAAGTAGTTTTAGTTTGCAGTTTTCCTGATGGCTAGAGACACTGTACACTTTATAAAAGTTATTGACCATTTGCATTTCATTTGTTGACTGGCGCAGTTTTATCTCCTTGGCATTTTATTTCTGCAATTCTTTGTGAATTCTGGACACTAGCCCCTTGTCAGAAATACAAGGTTACACAATCTCAGAAATAAATAAAACCATAGCTCTCTCTCATATGCAGAATGTAGCCAACGATAGATGTATATAAGGAACACACAGACATGTGAGAACAGTACAGCATGAAAAGGAGAACAAGAAAGACTAGGATAAGGGAACGAGGATGGAGTAAATATTGGCAATAGACACAAGTTATGAAAGAGTTATGAAAAAGAATATAAAGCTATTTGTTTCCCTAGTTCTAACTCTGTCTTAGTTTTTTTTTTTGTTTTGGTGGAAGATTAGTGAACAAAATATATCCAATACTGAAAATGTAAAATTTAATGTGAAGCTTCAGAGCTTTTGTTTTTAATGTCAATTCTAACTTTATATAAATTCACTAATTTATATAGACTTTGGGTATGACTAATACTGCTATGGTTTTACTTATTTGCAAGTTTTAAAATAATATAGTTTATTAAAAATACTTCTGATAGACCAGGTATATGGGAATAAGTAGGTCCAGATCTAATTTCATGGTATCTAGACTACTTAATTAATCATGCCTCAATTAATTAATCCAGGTGGAGTCTAACTACTAAAAGAATGGCTTTTCCAACACCACAAAAACCTAAAATGTGATGAAATGCATATTAGCTACTGCTCTTTTTCTGTGAAGAGACATGACCATGGCAAGTCTTATAAAATAATTGCCTTGGGGGCTTTTAATTGGGAGCCTGCTTACAATTTTCAAGGATTAGTTCATGATCATCATTCCGGGAAGCAGACAGACACAGTGCTAGAGCGGTAACTGAGAGCTTTATATCCTGATTAACAGGCAGCAGGCAGAAAGAGAGACACTGGGCTTGGTGTGGGGGTTTTTGAAACCTCAAAGCCCACTGGCAGTGACACACATCTCCTTCAGCAAAGTCACACCTCCTAGTCCTTCCTAAACAGTTCCACTAATTGGGGATCAAGCATTCAAACATACAAGCCTATGGGGCCATTCTCATTCAAACCACCACAAGAGGCTACACAGATTAAGGTATCTTTCTAGGGTAGAATTTTTAAAGTTCCCTCTGATGCCAAAACTTGGGATATTAAATGATTTAACTACAGGCTGCAGGTATGACTCAAAGGTAGCATACTTGCTTAGCATATGTAAGTCCAACGGTTTTATCTCCAACACCACACACACCCACACTCACACACACAGACAAAATGATGCAAAAGGTACCTCACACTCAGTAAACCCATTTGTGTAAAAGTGTTCTTAATTTAAAGAAAATGAGAATCAACATTAGCAGAAACCAATAATTTAAGACTTGATTCTTTTTAGGGCATAAGGACTGAGGTAAAATGGACTGATGGGACCAGTCAACAATTTTCTCACATGTGATGTAGTTTTACAGTAGTACCTGCTAGAGGGAAAGCCTAAAGTTCTAGTCAGTCATAAGTTCCTTAGTTCAGACCTGGCAGATAGAATAGCTTCCATGTCTCATTCCTTTCTCCAAAGATTAGGAAAATGGAGATCACCTGTTATATAGCATACTAACAGCAGGGTACCTAATTTCATGCTATATTCAGAGGGCTTTGTTTAAATAAAACTCTATATAAGCCTATCTGAAGATTGCTTGCAAGTACAGACATTGGCCAAATTGGAATAGGCCAAATCAACACACATATAATACTATGATAAAGGAATCTAGCTTATGAAAAATAATACAAAAATCTATTATTTTGTAAGTCAAAATATGTTTTTAAAAAGGAGATATTCTGCATAGCTGTATAATACTGCTACAAGTCACTGCTTATAAAACAAAGATCCCAGGTATGGGATACTTCCTTACTAATTGTTGGCCAGAGAGATCCCAGAGACTCCCACAACAATACAACCTATTGCCATTCCTCTTGGTTGCCTACCAAAACTAGACGATAAGATCTTATTGCTAAAGACTCTACACACCTTGGTTACAAGATATAGGAGAAAGCAAGCTGTAATTGAGATGAATGCTTCCTCCCTGCTGGCTAGATTTCACACTGCTGGATGCTGCTGTGCAGGCTGCTAGGGGAGTAAAGGCATCAAAGGTCTTACCAGAGGTGGACTCAGCATACCACAATGACAACCACAGACAATATATGCTCACTGATACAATAATGGCACAACTATTATAGGATCAAGTGTTCTTGAACTGGATTTAAAGTCAACTCCACAGGAGGGAATACAAGTCTAATACTATAAATCCTGTCAAAAAAAAAAAAAAAAAAACAAAAAACCTATGGCTGGGAAGGTCATGGATCCAGGAGTAGGGCTTACTATTGTTTAGCTAAATTTAACATGGTACCAAACTGAAGTCTAAATATTTATGCTTAAACTTATAGACAAATGATACTCCCAGCTTTGGTCAGAGAAGCTTTTCTTTGTAGTGAATACCAATAAAGATGCTTCAAATAAGTGATGATTGAGTACTCAGAAACAGGATCTTCATTTATGCCAACCTCTCTAAGGCACAGGGAACACCACAAACTAGAGTATGGAAAGAACAAGATAATAGGGAGGAGGACTGCAAACACTATCTTCAAGACATGATAAAGCCATGTCAAAAAAATGATCTCACAGCAGCTTGCTTGCACTTAGCATACATAAGAACAGGAATGTCAATAGCCAATCATGGATCAGAGGAGGACTGACAGGCCCCTACCCTCTGTGGTGGTTTGAATGAGATCGGCCTCTAAAAGCTCATGTAAGTTACCTCTGTAAGTTGGTAGAACTGTATAGGAAGCATTAGGAGGTGTAGCTTTGTTGAAAGAGGTATGTCACTAAGTAGAGGCTTTGAGGTTGGAACCCAGATCATTCCAAGTTAGCTTTCTCTGCCTTGTGCTTATGAATTATGGAGACTTTAGCTATTGCTCCAGTGCCATGCTTACCTGCCCATTGTCATGTTCCCTGCCATGATGGCTATGGACTCTAACCCTCTGAAACTATAAGTCCCAAAATAACTATTTCTTCTGCCAGTCGCCTTGGTCATGATGCTCTGTCACAGCATCATAAAAGTAACTAAGACACCCTCCCAGTTTAACATTTAGTAACTGATGAATTCCTGGGAAGAGATAATCATTGCCTTCAGTTGTGGGCTAAATGGTGAGCCCTAGAGGCTCTAATGGACAGTTGCAAAGATGTGGCCACAGAGATAATCTTGGTTAAATTAATGATCACAAACAAACAAACAAAAAAAACCCAAAAGCAAAAAACAAACAAAAGGCATGAATGTGAGAAAGGGGACCTGTGGGAAAAGGGAGGGAAAATGGCAGGGAGAGGAGGGAGATAATGAGAAAATGAGGAATCAAAGTAGACAAAATATATTACATACATGTAGAATATTGTCAAACAAAAAATTAATCAATTTAACGTGTTCTATTTAGCCAGGCATGGTGGGACATGCCTTTAATTCCAGCACATGGGAGGCAGAAGCAGGTAGCTCTCTGTGAGTTCAAGGCCAGCCTGGTTTACAAAGCAAGTTCCAGCACAACCAGGGCTACACAGAGAAACCTTATCTTGAAATATATATATATTATTTTAAAAGGAAAGAAAGAATATAGAAGAATATGCCTAAGTGAAAGAGTATCATTAGACAATGGAAAAGTAGTAAATACCAAACTTTTGGCCTTAAACTTGTGGTAATCCCCCCACCTCTGCACTCTAGGTGCTGAAATTACATACCAGGCCCAGTTTTGATAATAATTTGGAAAAATCCAATGTGTGCTTGGATGACATCTAAAGCATCAGAATAGCAGTGAAAGGCAACAGAGAAATTGTCCTCTGACCCATAGTGGTCTAGCCTCTAACTGTAAACTGCTATATTATAGGTCATCCAGTCTTTACTTAAATGTTCATTTTAAAGGTTAACTAAATGACAGAAATGCTAAAATACAACGTTCAGAGAGCTGTGTTGTATAATGATTCCCTCCAAGATTGAAATATTCTATCCTGCAGGGACATTCCTTGAGCAGGAAGTAAACAATTCAAGATAGTTTCAGAAAGTCCTTGAAACTGATCAGATTCATGAGGCTCCTTCCAGCCAGAGTAAATAATAAAAGCTAAGAGTCCTTCTCAGATGGAAGAAAGCTGAGCTGAAAAGACTCTCAAATGGGAATCAAGCTACCAAGAATACTAAGAAGAGTTCTCAAAGGAAAAAAGCTGCAAAGAAGATTGAGACCAGACCCACTGCCAGAAGAGGCAAAAACCAGCAGAGCTACCTGGAGGTTTGAGACCAACTGAGGCCCCTAAAAAAGTACTCTCCGACCTGTTGAGCTGCCTGCAAGCTGTGCAGTGTGCTCCAGGTTGCCAGCTTTGTAAACTGCCACCAGTGCTGGACTGGGCTTTGTGATGCAGCTGTCCTTGAGTATTTCTGATCCTGCAAGTAACCCCAGTAAAACTCACTGGTTACCTTGTGGGACCTTGGTGATATCTGTACTTCAGTCTGTCATAGGTTCCCTATCTAGGATGGTAGACACATATGTTACATCTTCCCAGGAAAAGTTTTGTCATACAATAAACTGGCATATGCAAATTGTTTGAGGTAGAATGGCTAAAAGCATTTTAAGTTGAAATAGTTTCACAGTTCCATAAGCATTAATCTTGAAGTTTTCATTTAACTACCATACAATGAGAGCATTTAAAAAATCTAGGTTGTTTCTTAAACTAGATGAAAAACCCAATTATCTAACAAACATTTAAAGTTACTCAGAATTTTTAAAAGGTTATCGTCAAACTAACCTTTTTTCTCCTCAGAAATCTGTTTCTGAATTTATTGGTAATAAATCCCCTTGGTCCAGCAAACCGTAAACGCTGGTATTTAGCCTGAATATACAAGCTCTTCCGTACCAGATGTGACTTAAAATGGGGCTGGAATCTGCCACCCAGAAAGTTCTGTAAAGGATCCAAAGAGAATTAAATGTTAAAAATACAGTTCCCCAATCTATTCTATTAGTATAACAGACAGGAGAATAATAATTACAACAGGCCTTAATTCTAGGCACCAACAATACTGGCTCTAAAGTATTTCTTCAAATTAGATACTAGCTTATTTTTTGTATTATTTAAAAAAAAACTTTGCTCTATAGAAAATAGATTTTAGAAATGGTTAGTAATGAGCCTAGGAAGATGTCTCAGTCAGTAAAGTACCTGTTAAGCAAGCATGGGGACTTGAGTTCAGATCTCCAGTACCTGACTATAAACGCCAGTGATAGGGAGTGGGGTAGGGAGGTAGTGATAGGCAGATCCTTGGAGTTTATAGGCAAGCCAGCCTATCTGAATTGTTGAGCTCCTGGTTCAATGAGACACTATCTCAGAAAATAAGGTGGATCTAGTTTCATTCTTCTACATGGTGAAACTCACGCTTCCCAACACCATTTATTGAAAGACAATTGTTTTTCTTCAGTGTCTATTTTTGTTATCTTTTAGCATGAACTTATATTCAGGTTCTCTATTCCACTGATCTGTGTTTATTTTTCACAAGTATTATGCTGATTTTCATTACTATGGCTCTGTAGTTAGCCTGAAATTACACATGCTGATACCTCCTACACTATTCTTTTTGTTCAGAATTGTTTTCCCTATCACTGTGTCTTTTGTACTTCTAAATAAATTTTAAGGGTTTTTCCTACATTCATGAAGAATGTCCCTAGATTCTATATATTACCTTTGGAAGGACAGCAATTGTTTTGTTTTTCAAGACAAGGTTTTCCTATGTAGCAGCTCTGGCTGTCCTGGAACTCACTCTGTAGACCAGGCTGGTCTCGAACTCGCAGAGATCCACCTGCCTTGCCTTCTGAGTGCTGGGATTAAAGGTGTGCACCACCACTGCCCAGCAAGAACAGAGATTTTTACAATATTGAATCTTCTGAGCCATAAGCATGTGAACTCTTTCCGTCTTCTAGTGTCTTCCTCAAATGTTTTCATCATTATCTTAAAATATTCATTGTAGAAGTCTTGTTTCCTTAGTTAAATTTATTCTGAGATATTCTCTGTGTGTGGTATTCTGAATGAGATTTTATTAATTTTAATTAATTTCTTCTTTAGTATGTTTGTCATTGATATATTAGAAGACTACTAACTTTTGCATATTAATTTTATATTCTGTCACCTCACCAAAGATTTGGCTCTAAAAGATTTGATGGAGTATCTAGAGTCTCTAATCATATAATTTGCAAAAAGGAATATTTTGACTTTTCTTATTTGTATCCCTTTCATTTCATTTTGTCTTACTGATCTAGTGAAGATTTCAAGTATTATACAAAATGGCAGTGGAAAGTAGACATCCTTGCCTTGTTCCTGATCTAGAGCTTTGTGTTTTTCTCCATTTAGGATGATGCTGACTAAGTTTGTGACATAAAGCCTTTATCATGTTGAGACATGTTCTCTCTAACCTCTTCATGACATTTTTTTAGATTTATTTATGTTTTGCCTGCATGTGAATATGTGCACTACATGAATACAGAGCTGGCAGAGGCCAGAAAAGGGCACTGAATCCCCTGAAAGTGGAGTTCTGAATGACTGTAAACCAGGTGCTGAATATCAAACCTGAGTCCTCGGCAAGAGTAATGAGTAATCTCCTATGAACTATCTCAGCAGCAACAAACCCCCCACATGACTTTAATTATAAAGAGATGTAGGCCTTTCCTACATTGATCATGTGATTTCTATCTTTGCATTCATTTATGTAATGAACTACATCTACTCATTTCCATATGTATCTCTGGAATTAAGCAATGTGACTATGATAAATATATTTTAATACAGAAAATATGCAACTATTTGATATATTTTACTTTATGTATATCAGATATAGTGAGCTTTATTTTATTTTTTTATTTTTGTTGTCACTTTGTCCAGTTTGGTATCAGGACAATACTGGCTTTGTAAAAAAGTTTAGAAGCATCCCTTTCTTTTCTACTTTGTAAAACAATTTGCACTAGTGTTAATTTTTTTGAAGACATAATAAAATTCTTCAGTGAAATCATCTAGCACTGGAGGATTTTAGTTGTGAGAATTTTTATTATTGCATTTTTTTTCCAAGACAGGTTTCTCCGCTTACCACTGGCTGTCCTGGAACTAGCTCTGTTGACCAGCCTGGCGTTGAACTCAGAGACCCACCTACCTCTGCCTCCCAAGTGTTGGGGGGTATGAGCCACCATGACCTGACTGGTTTGTCTTTTTAACTTACTTCACCTTAGTCTAATTTTGGTAGGTCATATGCATCTAGAAATTCATCCATTCCTTTTAGTAGAATATAGGTTTTCAAAGTATGTACTTATGATTTTCATTTCATTGATACCTATTTTTATATCTCATTATTCATAACTAATTTTATTAATCTGAGTGTTCTCTTCCTTTGAATTGATCTGGCTAAATTTTTATCAATATTCTTTATTTTCTCAAGGAACAAATTCTTTTTTGGAGGAGGTTTGAGAAAGGATTTCTCTGTATAACAGCCCTAGTTGTCCTGGAAGTAGCTCTGTAGGCCAGGCTAGCCTTGAACTCATAGAGATCTGCCTGCTTCTGCCTCCTGAGTGCTGGGATTAAAAGCATGAACCACCACTGTCCAGCTCTAAGAACAAATTCTTTATTTTACTGATTCTTTACATTTTTGTTTGTTTCTGTTCTTAATTATTTCTTCCCTTCTACTACCTTGTCCAGTTTATTCTGTTTTTTTTCCCCAAGGCCTTAAAATATTTCCTTATTTGAGATCGTTCATTTTTTCAATGTCTCACCCAGCACAAAAGTCAAATCCTCAATATAAAATCTGGTACCCTGAATCTGATAAATGAAAAAGCAAAGAGTATACTTCAATATATAGACCCTAAGGTTTTCTAATATATAGGTGTAATGATTTTCTGAATATGACTCTAATAGCACAGGCAATAAGGCCAATGACAGATAAAAGGGTTCTTGTGAAACTAAAAACATTCCTGTACAGCATGAGAAGACATTGACTGAATGAAGAAGCAGTTCACAGAATGAGAGAAGATATGTCAGCTATATATCTGATAAGAATTATTAACTAGAATATACATGAAACTAAAACATCTAAACTCCATAAAAAACAAACAAGCCAAATGTGCTAAGAGACTCAACAGAGAGTTCTCAAAAGAAGAAATATAAATGGCTAGAAAACACTTTTAAAAGTGTTCAATATACTTAGTCATCAGGGAAATGTATTTTAAAACTATTTGAAGTGTAATAAAGATGGCTTTAGCAGTTACAGCTTCCAGAGGACCAGAGTTTGATTCCCAGGACCCACGCAACAGCTCCCAACTGCCTGTAACTCTAGTTCCAGGGAATTTGACACCCTGTTCTGGCCTCCAAAAGCACTGTATACACATGGTATACAGATATACATGAGGAAAAGCATCCATACACATAAAATTAAAAAAATAATAAAGCTATTTTATGATTCTATCTCACCCCAGTCTGACTGGTTGTCATCAGTATGCAAAGGATGACAAACACTGGCATGGTTGTGGGTCAAGGAAACCATCTATACAACACTAGTGGAAGTGTAAACTGGTATATCCACTTTATATATCAGTCTAGAGTTTCCTCAAAAAAATTAGAAGTATTCATATGGTAGAAGGCTACCATATGAGCTATACCACTCAAAAAATGTATCTTACTACAGAGACATTTGCATGTCCATCATCGTGGTAGCTCTATACACAACAGTTAGGAAACAGAATCAGTCTAGATATCCATCAACTGATGAATGGATAATGAAACTGTTGTATGCACACACAGTGACATTGTATTCAGCTATGAAGAAAAAGGAAAATAAGGAATGAGCAGGGAAGTGGATGAAACTACAAAAATGCATTCAAGGAAACCCAGACCAGAAAGACAATGCATGGTCTCTATTAAGTGCTTCAACTCGTGTGTTTAACTTGGAATACCTATGTAATGTGTTTAACTTGGAATACCTATGTAATCCAGGAAACTAGAAATTGGATACTGTTGCTTTAAGGAGGTGGGACAGCAGTATATAGGCAAAATGAAAATGGAGGGGGGAATACTGGGAACAATGCTGTTCAAATAGGTACTTTTAAACTTTGACTGTGTTTCATATTGTGCTATTAATATGAGATCTTAAGGATAAGCAAGAAAGGAAACATCACAGTTTAATAGTAATTGATGTGTTTGTGTAGAGTTGACAAAGATGTACTGGTGGTTTTTTTCATGCCAACCTGACACAGATTGAGGTTGTCTGGAAGGATGGAACCTCAGTTGAAGAACTATATTCATTAGATGAGACTTTGGCACATCTGTGGGGTAATTTTCTTAATTAATGCTTGGATCTCACTGTGCAGTGCCACCCCTGGTCAGGTGGTCCTGGACTGTATAAAAAAGTAAGCTAAGCCATCCATGGAAAGCAAGCCAGTAGTAGGCAATATTCCTCCATGGTCTCTGCTTCAGTTCCTACCTCCAGGTTCCTGTCTTAGCTTCCCCTGGTGATGACTGTAATTCGTAAGCCAAATAAACCTACCCAAAGATGATTTTGTCAATGCTTTTTCATATTAACAGAAAAGCAAGCTTGGTCAGGGTAACTTAAAAAACAGTGCCAGGTGTGGGATACTTCCATAAGAGTTGTTGACTAAGGGTGCTCTAGAGGCCCCAAACAAAACAGGCTATTAGCATTCATCTTGGTTGTCTATAGAAATAGTTGATAAAATCTCATTGCTGAAGACTTCTTGTACCTTGGTTACAAGATACAGAGAAAGAAAGTTTGAATTGAGCTGGATGCTTCCTGCTGTATAGTTTTTACAGTGCTAGATGGTGCTGTTCAGGCTGCTGGGAGAATAAGGTAACAGTGGTCTTACCCAGCTGTGAACGCTGAACTACACTACCAACTTGCCAGGCAAGATGTGCCTATTGGTACAATAGTGGCGTGATTGATACAAGGATAACCAAGTGCTCCCTCATTGGATCTGAAGCCCAGTCCACAAGAGGAAATCCATGCCGAGTACTGTAAATTGGGTTAGAAAAATAAGACAAAACTATGACTAATGAGGCCTTAGGTCATACTACCATTGATTAGCTAAATTAACATAGTGTCAAACTGTCTTCTAAATATCTATGCTTATTCCCATAGGCTTATCTTAAGATTAATTAGAGAAGCTTCACTTTGCAGTGAATGGAGGTGAATGCAGAGACTCATGCAAGCACAACATATTGTGAATAAAGGATGGCTGAGGGCTCAAACCTAATTAAGACTTTTTATACCATCCACTTAGGTCTTACAGAACATTATGGAAAAGAATAGGGGAGAAAGAATACAAGAGCTATAAGATGAGAAGGGTGGGGAATGCTATTTTCTAAGCACGATACAACCAAGGCAGTCATAAACTAGCACATTTAATAGGCAGCTACAGATGGGAAAGAGGACCATAAGGTCCTATCACACAATGCAGAAGCTTAACACACACTACTGAAACTAACAAATTCTGGGAAAAGGAGAGTCAAAGTACCCAGTTAAATAATGTTTTCAATGATGAACCCACCAGGGTCTAATGGATAGTTTCAAACCCAAGGTCATCATACAACCCTAAACTCTGTGGGACACAAGACAAAAACATCGTGAATATGGCAAAGACATTTAGAACAAAGTAGGGGACAGACAAGTGGGAGCAAAGCAAGACATAGCTGAAGCAAAAGTAACCAGAATGTTTTATATACATATATAAAGTTGTCAAAGAAGAAAACCTATCAATAAAGGCAAAATAAGGTGGAGAACACCTAAGAAAGTCATCCAATGTCTACTCCTGGTCTCCAAACGCATGTACACATGTATGTGTATACATACAAGAAGAGAAAAGATAAAAAAACTTGAAATGAATTCTTGGCATTCATCATACTGAAAAATATAATCTCCCAAAGTTCTAATTAGCTAGGCTTATTTTTCTGATGTATAATGACTATGCCAAATATGAATGAGGGAGAAAAGATATTAAGTAAAAATACCTATGAATCAAAAATTTCAAACTTTATTCCTGGGACTGGGAAGATGGGACTGCCATTCTTCCAGAAGACCCAAGTTCAGTGCCCGGCACCCACACTGGGTAGCTCCCAATTGCCTGTAACTTCAAGGGCAGTTCAAGGGCATCTAGTGCTTTCACATGGCCTCTATGGGTAACTGCACATATGTGCATACACTCACAGACACTTAAATAACATAAAATTTATTCTTGTCAGTACCATCACTTTTCTTTGCCATAAAATAGCAAATATTAATTGTATGAATGATAAAACTAAATCCTGTCTTAAATATTGTCCAGTATAGTAGACATAGAAGACTAAAAATATTTGTTTTCGATCTTATCATTTTGTGCTGGAGGTGGGAAGGAGGCATCTTTAGTTTTGTCAGACACAAACCCATCATACACAAACGTTCCAAACAATTCTACAAACCTCCCTCCCTCACTCTTCCCATACACTCCTTGTGGACAGCTGCATTTCCAAGCAATCTCCTAGAACAGTTTGAGAAGTGACCCAGCCCACATGCTTACACATGGAATCTACTCTTCCCTAAGTCTTAAATCCTTGGTAATTTCTAGAAGCAGCTACATTACTATTTGAAAAAAAGAGTTCCACTAGTAATAATGAAGTTCAAAATCAAATCCTGATTAAACATCATTATTAAACTGGTAATTGTTAAGTATAAATTCTATCAATAGTCATAGAAATCAAAACACTAGTTTATAATTGTTGTTTAAAATGCCACAAAATAGTTTCTAATTCACTAATGCAACATTATTTCCAATATACAAAGCCGTAGTCAGACATAAATGAAAAGCAATACCCAATACCTTGAAAGACCTTCTAGGGCCTCTTCTGTTTTGATGATTTTCTTCAACTCTAAATATCTTCTGAGTAATGCCATCGTTTCTCTGCATAGTATAGTTCTGAACAAAAAATATTAATATGGGTTAATAATACCTTAAAGGTTACTTTAAAAACTAGTCTCACCAATTAAGACATATGTTTGAAGACCCCAAATCAGGGAGCATGGAGCTTACATACTTCTTCTCTCATATGACCCATGCTAGTTTGTGAGGGGCCAGTTTCATTCATGCCTGTGAGAAGTGTAAAAAAAAAAACACTTTGTATAACAAAATGGTTAACTTTTAGAAAGTGGATTATAAATCTAGCATTTACTTATGTATGCTACTTGGAAAGGAAAAAAACATTGCCAGCAGGACTTGGTAAAGGTTGTCTATTAGCCAAGAAAAACACAAACTCTCCATACTGCCAGTAGGCAAGTTACCCTAATCAACCAAAGGTTGCAATACCTTGGGAAGACCCAGAAATAAGAGAAAGAACTACAGTACAATCTAACTACAGAGAACTTGAGTCCTCTAGCATGAACAATTAAGATGGTATTCATTATCCAGTTTCCAATTTCTAAAATCTATATAATAGTCTTATTACCTTCTACTTAATCCATTTTTGTGGAGTCTGGCCAGAGGAGGATTGTACTATACAGCTGTTGACATGGCTCCTAATTATCTCCATCAATGATGCTTGTCTTTGTGGGCATGATCTAGTAGCTTGCTTCTTGTAATAACCATACAGTAAAGTAATGGGATATTACTTCTAAAACTAGGTTACAAACTAACTGACTTCCATCATTTAGTCATCACCTACAGAAGAGCTGTTGGATATTATAGATATTATAGATTCATCATCTATTCTATAAGCGAATCTTTAAGATAGAGAGATTAGTCGTTTTGTGGGGGTAGAAACATGGAATAATTAAACAGGCATGAGAGCTCTTACTGGATAATGACAATATCCTATTCCGGCATAGTGGCACAAGCCTGGAAACCAAGCACTTAGTGGGTGAAGGCAGGAGGGTTGTAAATTTGAGACTAGCCTGGGGTGTATAACAAGTTGCACTGCTTAGCCTGAGCAACAAAGTGAAATCCTGTCTTAAGCCCAACAACTGGACAACGGTGAGGACTACAACACATCTTGAAGAATTACTAAAAATCACCAAATTATATACCTGAAATGAACTTTATAGTGTGCAAATCATATTTTAATGAAGTTGTTACCAAAAGATCTTTAGAAAATTAGTACTATAATAAAAGAAATTTCTACTAAAACAAGAGATAAGTTTTCTTGATCATAAAATCTTTTAAGCCTCAACACTGTTATAACACAATGAAGTTACAACCACTTTGAAAAGTATGGAAATATTTATAATGTACAAAAATTAAAAACTTGAAACTCCAATCTTACTATGTAAGGTTTCTGAATAAATTTTCTAAAATTTGATTTTATAAAATGTGAAGGTTTTTGAAATCCATCAGCACGAATTGTCTTCACCTTTGAAAAACTGGGACACTGATGATTCCTAATAAAGGGAAAGAAAGAATCTTGTTACTTTAACCAGTTAAAGATACATACTCCAGATACATAGCACAATAGTAAAATTTCAATGATCTGTCACTACTAAAACTATAAATGATAGTTATTAAGACTGATGTTTTCAGCAAACATTGTTTTACTAAGCTGGAAGTTAGCAATAGAGCAAAAACAACATTCCTTGTACTAGGAGTCTCAATCTGACTCTCAATGAAGAACAGGACTCCTGGAGGCTATAGCTGACACATGGAAGAATTGTTCCCCCTCAGGAAAAAGCATCCCTGACTCCCCTGCCCCCACTTACTGAGATTCTTGGCAGACGCATCAATGGCTTATGACCCAGCCCATTTATCAGAGGTAAGGTAGAAAACTAGAACATGGTCACCTACTGCCAAGGCTATGGGCTCTCATACTGCAAAGGACAGGCTCCCACCTTCTGACAACATGAGAGATCTTGAGGTCACAACAGGCTCTTCCAAGTCTGCTTGGTAAAAAGATCCTGGAAGCCTCATTTCTACAGCTCTTGGCAATGTCTTTCCTTGTCATATCCTACATCTCCCCACAACATTTTTTGGGGGGGGTTTCGAGACAGGGTTTCTCCATAGCTTTTTGGTTCCTATCCTGAAACTAGCTCTTGTAGACCAGGCTGGCCTCGAACTCACAGAGATCCGCCTGCCTCTGCCTCCCGAGTGCTGGGATTAAAGGCGTGCGCCACCACCGCCCAGCCTTCCCCACAACATTTTTAAGACCTTTCCTATGTCTTTGGCAGGTCCCATTTCCTAGGGAGCCAACTGCCCTGCTTTAGCCTCTCCCATGAATTTTGTATGGGTTAAAAATCAGTCTTCATGATTTCCTGTGTCCGTTTTGCCCTGACTCTTTATGGCCTTACTACCTGGTTTCCTCCAATCTCCCCAACACATATATTGAACTTTAAATAATTAACTGTGTATAGCTAGTTCCCAGCACATACCATGATCTTTCCTGCTTCCACAACTTTGTACCTGCAATTCCTTCTGTGATCACTTCCTTCCATTTAGATTAACTTCAAAGTTTGGCTCCATTTGTAGCCTTGTCCAAAAATTTTCCTAAACTCCTCTGAGGAGGAATAGACAACCCTACTGTGACACATACAGCATTAGAGGTCCTAACACCTATCTTTCCTGCTGTAGCTACTGCTTATATCTCTGTGTTTAATGGAATAAGTTTTCAATACTACTGGTTTATTTGTGTTCTCATCACTGACCCCAGAACCTGACACAAAATAGAACTTCAGGATCTATGAAATGTTCAGAAACCTGCCATCCTGATAAAATGTGATATGGTACTAAGTCAAAATAGCAGTGTGTAACTACAAAGCTATACATTGAGAATACATTAAAAAGCACACATACTTGCCTATAAAAAAGATAAAGGTCAAAAATAGACTAAATATTCGAAGTGCTCATTTCTATTTGGCAAAATTACAAATGCCTTATGCTATAAAAATCCTTATTGCAAAACATATCCAATGAAGGAATACTGGTTGAACATCCCTAATACAAAAATCTGAAATGTTACAAAATCTGAAGCCTTCTGAGCACCAACATGAAGAAAAATTCTACACCTGACCATGTAAGACAAAACATAGTCAAAACAAAGGCACATTAAAATACTGTATAGAATTTCCTTCTGAAAATGAATGAAAGAACATAAATAAATTTCATGTTTAGTTAAGGGCCCCCTACCCACAAGAGTTGAGTATATATATGTAAGTATTCCAAATAATCTAAAATCTGAATCATTTCTAGTCACAATCATTTCCAGTAACAGACTGTAGTATCTAGAATATATAAAGAACTATTAACATGCTACTATATTTTATTACTGTGTGTATGTGAGTCAGAACACACATGTGGAGGTCAGGGAAAAATATGTATGTCTCAGGTTGTCAGGTTTGGTAAAAAAAAAGTGCCTTCCCTACTGAACCATCTCACTGGCCTAGAGAATAGTAAAGAGCTCTTATCCAGGTGTAGTATCATGCCATTAATCCTAGCACTCAGGAGGCAGAGTAGATAGATCTCTATGAGTTTGAGGACAGCATGAGCTACAATAGTGAGTTCTAGACCAGCCAGGGCTTTATGGTGAGACCCTGTTTCAAACAAAAACAACCCTCCTAACTATTATACCTCAGCAATAAAGACTTTGATTATAAAATGGGCAAAGGATTTAGACAAAATTTCTCTACATAAGATATATAAATGGCCAAAAAGCATATGAAAAATGTTTATCATTAGTCATCAGGGAAATGTCAATCAAAAACACAGTGAGATGCTATGTTACACTCACTGGAACAGAAAGGTTACAATAAATAGATTGCTACTTGTGTGTACCTAACAGCATGCCTTCAAACAGGCAAAAGGTGGAAAACCACAAATAGCTATAAGAAACGAACAATCAGGTAAATACAACGTAGAATATCCACCAGCCTTAAAATGAAGTTTTTAAGAAAAAAAAAACCATTGACATATGACACAGCATAGATGAAACTTAAAAGCACTATGAAAGTGAAATCAGTCATAAAATGAAATGGTTTTGTCTATAATTCCTACAGCTGCAGCCACAGTAATCCTTTTAAAATTTAGAGATCATATCTTTTCTTTAGTTAGAACACCAAATGTTTTTAATTTCACTCACTGTAAAATAGTCTTTATGTCCTTCAAAGTCCTTTATGAAATCATCTAGGCCTCATCTAGTGACTTTTAACCTTTTGTATACTTTTACATATCTCTAAGTTTATATAGGTGCAGGCACACATGTGTAACAGCACGTATATGAAAGTCAGCTAGTGACCTGAGGAGTCATTCTTTACCTTTCATCTTGGGAGACCAGGTCTCTTATTTACTGTTGCTCTTTCAGGCTAGTCCACAGGCCGCCAGTTCTTATTTTGTATCTGTCTCCCATCTCCCAGTAGAATTACAAGAGGATTATTGTGGAGACCTAAATCTAGGTCGGCCTTGTTCAGCATGTGCTTTGCCCACTGAGCTATCTCCCCACTCTCCCTCCCTTCTTTCTACTCTACTACAACCCGACTAGACATAATTCTAGTCCTTAGCCAAGAAAAAAAACATGCTTTTGCCTTAACATCTTTGCATTTGGTTCCCTGTTTTGAAGTACTATACTCCCAGGTATGATGTAGCTGGCTGACTCTTTCAATCAATTCACATGTCCACTAAAATTGCAAAACTGTATTACACGAATTCCTGTGAATTTCCACTTCTACCTTAGTTTTTAACCTACCATTGCAATGACATTTTCTTTCTCCTACCATCAAGTTCCAAGTGCCAGGAAGTCAAGAGTTTTGTGTAGTTTTCATGGTATCCACAAAACATAAAAATGTAACTTTACAACAAGGAATTATGTATCACCTGTATATGGAAAGCCCTCGATGAAGTTCACACTTAGTTTAGTATACACCGTCTTTCCCCATAAGTTCCCTACTGAAAAATAAGGTTTTGGTAGCTTCGTGGCCTCTTGGAGTTCAGTGCTACAATTTTTAAACTTTTTGTTTACACATGGCCCATACCTATATAATACATCTCAATTTGCATTGCAGAGGATTTAGTAACTCTGGTTAGAAGGAGAAATCATGTGCCAGAAGACTTGGAGACATCATAAGGTCTGGAGACATCAAGGTAAGATATTCATTATTGAGAAGTCAAGAGAGAACAGCAAGGTCTTATACATTGTTTGGAATGTCAAAGAATTAAGTTTGTTGGTAAAAGATCCCAAGACATTAAGGAATAGTAATCCAGATAGAAATGCCTTACAGCTATTGCTTTGTCAAGTCTTTACACATTTAGCAAATATGGACTGAGCTCAAGGCAATGGAATATATTGGTGAACAAATACAGAGAGCCTTCATATAACTTACATTTTAATGGGAATACCATAGGAGGAAATCACTAAATCCTATGATTTTTTTAATATTTATTTATTATGTATACAATATTCTGTCTGTGTGTATGCCTGAAGGCAGAAGAGGGCACCAGACCCCATTACAGATGGTTGTGAGCCACCATGTGGTTGCTGGGAATTGAACTCAGGACCTTTGGAAGAGCAGGCAATGCTCTTAACCTCTGAGCCATTTCTCCAGCCCTAAAACCTATGATTTATGACATTATGTTTTATCTGAATTTCTCTACAAACTACATACTGAAATTGGCAAACTTTATTTCTAAGATAAAAGGATAAATTTTACTTTAGTAAGGAAACTGAACTGAGTCAAAGATGAACAGTTCATCATTTAAAACTTTAAAATTTTATGTATATTTACACTGTGTGTGTTTGTATAGGCATGTATAATCATGTGTAAGTGTGTGTATGCCTCTGCTATAATCTACAAAATCAGGTCAGAGAACTACATGTGGATTCAGCTCTCTTCTTCCACATGGGTTCCAGAAATTGAACTCAAATTGTTGGGCTTAACAGCAGGCATGTTTACCCAATGGGCAATCTCACCAGATCTGGTATCATTTTAAAAAGAAAAAGAAAAAAGGAAAAAAAGAACCTCACAGGTAATGGTAAAGACATGAACGACTTGAACCTCTCCATTGCTATTAGAGTGTAAAATGATATAGTCATTTTGAAAAACAGTTTGGTAATAATCATCTAACTCCTCAATTCTACATGTAGGTATATGCTTAATAAAAATGAAGACAGGACCACACAGAAACTTGCACACAAAATATTCACAACACTATTTATTCACAATTATCAAAAAGTAAAAACAAAAGACCATCAACCGATAAATGGATAAACAACAAATGATACATCCATACAATGTAGCATTATTTAGCAATAAAAGAAATCTTTGTGCTATAGTATGGATAAACTTGTAATACATGCTACATAAAATAAGAAGTCACGAAATGCCAGACATATTACTGCATTTATATGAAATGCCAAAAATAGGCAATCCATAGAATGTGTAACAGTGGTTTTCCAGGGAAGGGAAAATGAAAAAATCGGGAGGGGGTGTTCCACAGTTAGGTACACTGCTTTCTTCTGGAGTGACAAAATATTTCTGAGATAAGTGGTTCTTTTTTTGTTTGTTTGTTTGTTTTTTGTTTTTCGAGACAGGGTTTCTCTGTAGCTTTGGAGCCTGTCCTGGCACTAGCTCTTGTAGACCAGGCTGGCTTGCCTGGAACTCACAGAGGTCCACCTGCCTCTGCCTCCCAAGTGCTTGGATTAAAGGTGTATTAAAGGTGTATGCCACCACCACCCTACGAGATAAGTGGTTTTTTTTGTTTTTTTTGGTTTTTTGAGACAGAGTTTCTCTGAGTAGCCCTGGCTGTCCTGGAACTAGCTCTTGTAGACCAGGCTGGCCTCGAACTCACAAAGATCCACCTGCCTCTGCCTCCCGAGATCTGGGATTAAAGGTGTGGGCCACCACCACCTGGCCGAGATAAGTGGTTCTTATACAACTCTGTGACTATAGTAAAAACAACTCAAATTGCTTACTTACAAAGGGTGAATTTTATGGCAAAAAAATACTGAATTTTTAAAAAAATTATCATGTTTCACGCTACAACAGTCCTCAAAGCTAACATTAACAAGCTTAATGAAAACCAGCTACGTTTTACCTAATCCTGATCACCATTATGAGGTAAGCACAAATCCCATTCCTATTTTCACAGATGAGGAAACAAAGGCTAGATAACCTACCCCAAGTCATTCACATAGCTAGGGTTCCTAGAGCTGGGCACTGAACCCAAACAGATTCAAGTTCTAATCATCTCAAAGGGTAAAGATAAGTCTTGGAGCATTTATGATATGGTTATCATCGCAAACGTTTTTTTAAAAAATCAACTTCTTGGTACACTGTGTTTCTAATGCTTTCTCAGCCAAGAAAAAACACAACAGACAGCTTGTCAGTAAAAACAAGGTAATACCATGTGCTAAGCAAACATATTAGGAAATTTTCCATATTCCAATTGTTTTATATACCAAAATACACAGTTTCACTATCTTTTAATCAGTCTCAAACTTACTATCAAAACCAAGTCCAGTTAAAACAAACTTCATGTATTTTGAGTATGGCTACTTAGGTTTAGAGTTGATTTAAAAGTCTGGTCAAATATTTAAATGTTTTAAGAGTTGACACTAAGGATCATGTAAAAGAATTATCATTATTTCTTTCTATTCAAATCCCTGCTTCTGAGAGATTCAAACTGATTAAGGACTCTTGACCAAACTAGAAATTGTCTCATTCAATTATTCCTCATAATCATTAAGGGGGTCACATAGTTGCCATAGGTTCTACTAGTTCTCAGAACTAGAGGTAGACTGGGGCCAATTTAGATGACTAAAGACTCCTGCAAAGAAGTGTGATAGAAGACTCCTGCAAAGAAAACATGATATGATGATGATCTCTTTGCTGTACATGACATAACTTCAAAGATGCCAGTGACTTAATAGTATAGCTCTCCCTGCATAATAAGCTGGTCTCATCATTATAGTATGGAGAGATTCCTAAAGATTCATAAAATTTGTTGACAGTTTGTAAATGGGCAGAGTCAATGAGATTCAAATTGAGGTCTTCCTCTGCTGTTTCTTTTTATTGTTTGTTTTGTTTAGTTTTGGAGACAGGATCTCACTATGATCACCTCTGCCTCCACAGTGCTAGGACTAAAGGTATGCGCCACCACTCCCGACTTTTTCCACCTGTTCTACTATGCCTGCCTACTTCATAGACCCAAGAAGAGTTCCCAAACAGAACTGTATTGACCTCAAAATTTTGTAGTTATTCAAACTAAGTCAGAATATAAAGGCCCAAGCCTATTAGTTTTAATCCGCTTGAGCTGAACAGTCTATATAAAGTTGGTCCTGGCTCCTGGTAACACTCAAACAACTATTATACTCTCTTCTTTAGACTTAGGAAGACCTTAAATATTCACCCTCCCCATTGTTTTTGATGTTTAAATCAAACTTCATGGAATAACCAAAGAATAATTTTAATAAACATAAAACAGATCTGAGAACTTAAATCCCTAGACTAACATTAATCATACAAAAATATAAAAACTGCTGAAACCAAAAGCTCCCTGATAACAGGATATTTTTCATTTACTGATTACCTCTCTGTAGGACTAGTCATATGAAAAATGTTCTCGTCTTCATTCTGTAATTGCTCTTTTCTCCTTCTTTCAATGTCATGTCGCAGGTCATTTGGCTCTATTACTTTGACCAGAGTCTGAGGGATTTTGACAGAATATAAACCAATTACATTTCTAATAAGAATCTTAATTAAAAGTCCTTAATAATTTTATACTCATCCTGATAGTGGTAATATAAACTGATATAAATGCTTTGAGACACAATTGACATTAGTCAGAAAAGTTCTTAATTTTGAACTAGGAATCCTATTTCTGGGATTATATCCCAAAGAAAAGGTTGCCTCTTTAAAAATATTTAAAATAACAAAAAAGGAGCAACTTAAATGTAAAAATAATTTAAAGAAAAGAACTATGAATTAAATTATGGTTAAATAAATAAAACAAAACTATACAGTCACTAAAATCAATAAATGATATATCAAAGTCAATATGAAAAACATTAGTGAAAAAAATTTAAAACTTAAAAACCATGATTGTAAAAGGCCATGGGGGGAATTTAGAACTTTAACATAAAAGTGATAGTATGGATTATGAAAAAAGCATATTGAATTGCATCTGATAGACTGTTAAAATGTATCACATTATAACTACAGGAATTATGGATTTTTTTAAGTCTTCAAATTTCCTATAAGTTGATTACAAAGACAATTAGAAATGTCCTTAAAATATCATTCAATAAACTATCTGTATTAACAAAAACTTTGTAAGTAAAAAATTACTTAAACAGTCTACCAAAAATACATTAAAATCTCTTCACTATAGAAACATTCTCAAAGGAAAGCTTAACAATTCATTTAGAATTTGACAACCTGGTTAGTCTCAACAGTCTTTCTAATCAGTATAACAGAAGGTCAGAAGGAGAGTGTTGGGTAGGAGCCACATACATGATAATATAGAAATTTAGAATTATTTTCGTTATTTTGCTAGTTTATAATCCACAGAATAGTTCTTAAATTCTACAACAAACAGAAGGGCGGCACCAAATGCCATAGTTCCTTTGTATTTCTTTCACATACAATTAAAAATATATATTCCATGTGCCAGATTTAGAAAAATGGCTATCAATCATATTTTCTGTAAGCTTTACACTGAGGAGACTGGGGATGAGTATTAAATATAATTTTTAAATCAATTTTTCAAAGTAGCTATCCTTAATAATCTCAAAAAAAATGTGTTTTGGTATTCTTACTCTACCTGGGCTGCAATCATTCACTTTGAGAACTTTTTCAATTTTAGATTCATGGATATCAGCCTTTCTTCATACATCTTTAACTCCTTTCTGGATCTTGTCACAAACCTTTTGCTGCTAATATACCAATAATAACTGTATTCACTTACCTCATCTGGTTCATATACCATAGTCTGCTTATTCTGAAGATCGGCCAAAGACATATCTATTCTCCTAAAATAATAAAGAGATATAGTTAAATAATTATGCTAATTATGTTATGCACTGATACCTTGATTGTTTTACTACAGAATAGATTTGAAATAAAACCAGTGGGTCTTGGAAAAAGCAGAACAAACCTGCTGTCAGGTAAGTTTTCATTTATTTTGTTTGTTTAAGACAGGGTCTTTCTAATATAGTCCTGGCTGTTCTGAAACTTACTGCCTTAAACTCAGATATCTGCCTGCCTCTGTCTCCCAAGTGTTGGGATTAAAGTCATGCACCACCACCATGCCCTGCTAGGTTTTCACCATATGGCAAAGTACTAGTCTATACATATCCTATGGACCACATTATAGGGAAGTTTTGGTGGTTCTCTAATCACTATTAACAGTGACCTCAAACTGTATTTTGGTGACACACAACATTCTAACACTGATTCATCTTAGCAATCCACACAGGGTATACGATATGCTTGGACAAGTGTCAGCAAAAGGCATTCTTTCATCCTCAACAATCATTTGTGACCACTTAAAGTAACCGATTCCAATGGCTTGACATCTATTCTGAGGTTTATTCTCATGAGGTAAATGGAAAGAAAGTAATCATTACCTGTGAAATTCTGGATCTGAATTCAATTTCATTTCATTGAAATCTGCATCATGTCTGTTTTGTATTCTTGAGAAACGCTCGTTTAAAGTAACATTAGATGGTGCAAAACAACTTGCTGCAAAAGGAAAGAAATAGTTCCATGACAACATGAAACTAATTGCCATTTAAAAAGATTACAGAAAGCTTAAGATCAAGAAGGGGCCATTAAAATGTATCCAAATTGTTCCTCATGGAATAAAAACAAGACCCAAACTTTATTTGCTTTATTAAGTTGGAATGCTCATGGTTTTCTAAAACCAAAGAATTTTTAAAAACTTGACTTATAAATTGAAGGATTTTTTTTCCTATCTGCCATGATTACTTTCTTGTCTACAAGAATGACATTATCAAAGTAACAATCATTCTGGCCCATAGTAAGATGAGACTCTATCCAGAATGTAAGAAAGACACTCTATAGTTCAACAGCAGTGAAAATTACATCAATTAGCAATAAAATTAAAATAATCTTTGAACAAATACTGGAAGTTCTGTTTAAATATCAGAGTGCCTTCCAACACCACTTCACTTTTACATTAACTTTAATTCACAAAGACATTCTAAAATTAGCTCTGCAGCAAGTTCTTAATAGTATAGAAAAGAATACACTTAATCGGCCCAATGCTATGCAAGCAACCTTCTCTAATTCACTAGTCCTGTTCTGGGACACTCCATTTTTTTTCTGTAAAATACTACCATACTTCCTGAAAACTATATTTTCTTTGGGTAAAAAGAGATTGAGCTGAGAGAAAAAACTGTTCCCAACAAGCTGTATACTTCAGTCACGCGAGTACTGGGAACCTGAGGCCTCTTCAAGAGCTGCTAATACTCTTAACTGCTGAGCTATCTCTTCAGCACCAATAATTATTCTAAAAATATGTTTCATGAAGGTACAAATGAAAGCAAATAAAATTTTGACATACTTAAAAGTCTCTTGTCTAGAATATCTATAATTTAAGCTGCACTACTAGGGAAAGTAGTTTTATAACACTGCTTTTCCAATTAGTGGAAATTTATCAGAAACAAAACTTTAATGCAAATCTTTAAAGCCCTAATGAACTCTTTGATGTCACACACACACACAAAATGAAATCTTCCACTGATCACACAGGAACCAGCTTATGGTAAAAAGTGCTAGGAAGGCCCTGGGGGTGGGTTGATAATATCATAAAATAACCTAACTTCTGGATTATCTGGAATTTATACCTGTTTTTATTGCTTCTTCCTCCTTTGTTAGGTTCTCAATATGCCTGTTGTTTGGAGCAGGCTGATCTTTTACTAACTAATGATTTGCAGTCCACTAGCATTTGAAGCAGAAACTTATTGAAAATACTAAAAAAAAAAACCTATGCTTGAATGAATGTCTGGTACTCTTTCCAACAGATTTCCTAACTCAAAATGGAATATTATTAAAGTATTTGTGTCTTGTGAAAAGTTAGTGCATTATTTTTGTGCTATACATAATGTTTGGGCAAAATCTACCAACCTTTAACTTCATGGATTAGTGTGATGATTTCCTGAGCAAACTCTTCTGCAGGTTTGTCTTCAGGGTTCTGAGGTGAGTTGAGATGGTGAAATACTGGATGAAAATTGTCAGCTTTTCTGCCCACAGCAACCAAATCATGTGATAGCTGCCTCTCTGCAGAGTATCTAGAAGTGGACCTAAAATAATTTGAGATGTTTAATTAAATTTGAAACTGTTTAGATAAGGATGGAATTTGCTAAAATTAAGATAGCTAAACATTAAAAATATATTTATTCTGTCATAATTTAGGCATAAAAGTACATGCTATAAAACTAATAAACCACAAGTAGAAGATAAATATAGATAAAAGGTCCTGAGCTCTTTCAAATCACAATTCTAAGTGAATTTTTCCTTCAAACATACAAGGCATTAAGTCACCTAATATACAAGAAATAATCACACTATTTTTATTCTTCAATATTGTCAAAACATTGTAATCAGCCACTCTGAACCACTACTATACTTTCTATACATGAAAAGCTATTATTAAAACTAAAAACCTGACTTAATAAAAATTCTCCCTCACTATAAACAATGAGAAGCTTAGAATAGTGTTTTGAAACTAAATCTATTAAGAAATTAACTGTTTGATAGCAAGATGACTCAGCAGTAAAAGAATCTGCCATGCAAGCCTCATGACCTGAGTTTGATCCCTAGAACTCATGGTGGAAGGAGAGAAACAACTCCCTAAAACTGTGCTCTCTCTGTTATGTCCACACCTGCCATGGAACATATGTGCCAACATTCACGTATGCACATGCAAGCACACACACACACACATGCATGCTCAGGCACACAAAAATTATAGCCTCATTCCCTCATATTGGATAATAATCTAGTCAGTTAAATTCAGTCATGTTGAAACCACAGTAAGAATCATACATCAAGTTATCTGTCTCCTGGGATCCCAAAAAGACATAAAAAAAAGACATTTCCACTTCTAAAATCTAACTTTTATCCTTTATAAAATAAGGACCTGCTAAGATTCCTTCTTGCTAAAAGATTCTATGAACGTCAAAAGCAACAAGGAACAGTCTAAGAAGCTGCATAAAGAATAGATTCTGGCCTGGTATGGTGGTAGCACACACCTTTAATCCCCAGTACTTGGGAGACAAAAGCAGACTGATCTCTCTGAGTCTGAGGTCAGCCTGGTCTACAAAGAGTGTTCTAGGAGAACCAGGACTACATAGTAAGACCTTGTCTCAAAAAACAAACACGCAAACAAAAAGAATAGAAGCTGAACTCTCCTATGACTGGATTAAAAAAAAAAACACCTGGCAGTATAAAAACATCTAACTTCATAAAGAGAAATAAGTCCTTGAAATGCCCTAAACCTAAGAATTATCTGGAGATAAGCTATGGGAACCAGAAAACACACCTATTACTAGCTACAGAACTTTTCCTCATTACAGGACTTTGGGGAAAAATCTTGGTAATTTCTTGAACACTCAATGTAATCTAACCAACAATACAAATCCCATCTTGGAAACTGAAAATTAAGGTGGAAAAAATCTATTAATAAATATTTAAAAATGCTAATACCTAAATGTGTTCCTCTTGTTCACATCTACTTGAACAGAAAGTGATTTCTTCTTGACAAATGAATATCGTTTCTCTTCATGCTTTGGGCTTGCATCAGGTTGTTTACTAGAAGAGGCACTCTCTTTTCTGCAATCTTCTTTATTTATTTTTTCCTTCCATTTGTCATTGCAAGGCCCCAAATCAGCTTCCTTTATATTTGTATTAGTATAGGAAATGCAGTCTTTCTTGTATAGTTGAAAGGGCCCATTGACCTGATCATTTTCATTCTCTCTTCCTCTTGCAGTACTGAAACAATCTGACTCTCTATTTCCAGAAACTTTCAGAGAACTGTATTTTCTGTCTTCTTCCTTCAAGTACTTCTGAAATCTCTCATCAGGAAAGTCCTGCTCACTGTCTGAAAGCTTATGATGTTTGTGACGGTAGTCATAAGATACTCTGGTTGCTGAAATCAGCTCTGGGTATTCTCTCTCAGTGTATCTATGGCTTTGTGATCCGTAGCTCCACTCTTCATCCTTCTCTTGAAAAGGTACAAAAGAATGCTCAGGCTTCCACTTTGAGATTCTGGCCGGCTCTCTAGTTTCATACCTTGCTGCATCTGTAGGTCTTTTTGGTGTGTAGTCATACTTTCTGAAATCATGATCCTCAGGATACCTGTGTTGACATAAAAAAGTTTATATTCGCAATATACTGAAGTAAAAAATTTCAATGCGTAGAATATTGAGCAATCTGACCTTAAAACACAGCATTGCAATGACAAGATATAAGACCTCATGCCAACTTATAAAAACACATGAAGTTAAAGAGTAACATCTTTTAAAAACATTCTCGCTTTAGCTGGGCATGGAGGCACATAACTTTAATCCCACCACCTTGGAGATAAAGGCATATCTCTGAGTTCAAGACTAGTCTGGTCTACAGAGTGAGTTCCAGGACAGTCGGGGCTACACAGAGAAACACTGTCTCAAACACCAAAAAGAAAAGAAAAACATATTCTAGCTATTAGCATGAATTACTTCAAAAGAAATAATCTTTTCGTTTGTTTGATTTTTTTTTTTTTTGGTTTTTCGAGACAGGGTTTCTCTGTGGTTTTGGAGCCTGTCCTGGAACTAGCTCTTGTAGACCAGGCTGGTCTCGAACTCACAGAGATCCGCCTGCCTCTGCCTCCCGAGTGCTGGGATTAATGTTTGTTTGATTTTTGACAGGGTTTCTCTACGCTGCTTTGGAGCGGGTTCTGGAACTGGTTCTGTAGACCAGGCTGGCCTTGAACTCACAGAAATCTGCCTGTATCTGCCTCCCAAATCCTGGGAGTAAAGACATGTGCCAACACCGCCTGGCAAAAAAGAAATATTTTCATCTTTTGAGATAAAAAAAAAGGTGATCACAGTCAACATAAAAGTAAGACTCTTTTACTTGAGGCCTTATGCCAAACTGCCCAGGCTTAATGATTTCCTGTACCTCTTCTGAAAAGGGTTCCTTGCATCAAAGTCTTCTGAGCCTCTTCTGGGTGACTGAGGATAGTTTTCTTCTTGGACCCTCTGGTGTCTCAATTCATCTTCATGCCATGTCTCTTCAAATCCAAAGGAATCTTCCAGTGACATCTGAGATGGCTTCCCTCCTCTCCCACTTCCTCTAACTCTGTGCTCTTCAGGAATAAACCTTCCTTGCATTTGGGGGGAATAGCAATCCCTTTCATGCTCTGTATAGGTTGTTGCACTTTCTGAGTATGTGGGCATATATTGAGATCTTCTGTCATCATCCCCTCTTCCAGGGTAATATTCTTGGTGAGGATTATATGTGTCAAATTTTTCTACAGACTTTATATTTGGGGAAGGTGATCTATTTTCATAAGACCGATAATAAGGATTCACACGAGGGGAAATCCTTAGTTTATTCTGTAAACGTTTCTCATCGTCCAGTCTCCAAGTAAAGGGTCTTTTTGGATCATCTCTATATTCAGGGTCATAATGCCCATGGAAATGTATTTCCTCATAGTATTCAAAATTCCTAGATTGTGGTGATAATGACCTATGTGAACAAACATAGAGAAGTTTAGTTAACTTTAAGACATTTAACTGTTTGTATAGTGTGACTTACATAAAACACTGACCTTTCCTAGAATTCCACTACTAATTCACTTGAGGTAAATCTACAAATTTGTTATATATATATATACCTGGAATTTATATATTGGGGTGAGGAGGTCTAATAACTGTTTTGTCCTACCTGACAACTGTATTCTCTTCAACAAAACTAATGTATTCAAAGAGCACATCCAACTGGGTTAAACAGATCTATCATATTGGAGGGGGACCAGATCAGCTATATAGCACAATCTTTTTTTAGAGACTACTGATAGAAAAGTTCTAACTAAAGAAAATATAGCAACTCCAAAAGGCCAATCAGGAAAAGCTTCCATCAGGTTCAATAGCCAAGTGAGAAACAAGCAAGAGCAAAGTAAGAACAAATATATCAGAGTGTTTAGAAAACTGAACATGACCTCTGAAACCGCATTCTACAATCCAAACTCATACCGAGAAATGTTTCCATAGTTTTCCCAACTGTTCTCTCCTTCATGGTCATACCAAAGTAAGAAGCTTAACAGGTAGCAGGGGCAGAAAAGAGAAAATAATCATAAGATATCAATCTCTACTTTTTCTTCATATATTAGAGTTTTTTGTTTGTTTGTTTTTAAGAAAAAAATCAACTCCCACTCTATAAAAAAAGCAGCCCTGACCGGTATTGTTTCTATTAACAAAGCTAACCTTATACTTAAAGCAATCTTTCTGTCTCTGCCACTAGTATGCAGGAAATACAAGAGTGGACTACTATACCTATCCCTCCATAAATATTTCTAGCATAAACTTCTGTTCTTTCCAAAATCTTCTGACCCTTATATATTAATTGAAAGATGTGTTGTTTAAAGAGCTTATAAATCTAGCCAGAGTGTGTTGTTGAAGGGACCAGGAACAGTTGTTTTTTTCCAGGGGCCAGTTTACTAAGACCTATGCCCCATATTACCCCGCCATCCTATTCTGACTCATGTCTGGCTTCAACCAGATCCTCAGGAAGTACATCCAGTCTGGTAGTCAATGAGGTCCTACCTGTACACAAGCAGGAACTGGCTATTTTCATTCCGACAGACCCCTGACACTGCAACCACAGTTGCTGACCAAAGGTCATGAGCCAATCATAAAATGATTCCTGTATCAGTAAGGGTCTATACCCAATCACTTCAAAGTACACTTAGCCAAAGCTGAAATTCCCCTAAACAGGCTTAAAAGGGGCTGCCTTGCCCTCCCCCAGGGTCGAAGCCATTTTGGGCAGGCCCCAGCATGCTGGGGGTTTTTTCTCTCTCAAGAATGAAGTTGCTTTCTGTAATTACATACCTGGTTGGTGTCTTCTGGTCATTTGGAGTGATCTAAGGACCCTACATACAGGGGACAGTATTATAGCTTCTCTGCATCTATCTTTTCTGGTACCTTGACACTGCAAGTCTGCAGACTTGTAAAGACTCCCATATTCATGGAAAACACTGTAGTTTACTCAGCCTTAAAGATAAGGAAGGTGGCTGGGCATAGTACCTCACACCTTTTATCCCTGTACTTGGGAAGCACACGCAGGTAGATCTCTGAGTTTGAAGCCAGTCTGGTTTATATACTAAGTACTAGGTCAGCCAGTGAGACCCTGTCTCAAAAAACAAGTCAGCCAAAACAACAAAAGACAAACAAAAAAACAAAAAAAAGATAAGGAAAGAACACAATAAAGCTTACCTTTACACCTGAGAACCTTTCTGCCATGTGACCTGACCAATTTCTCATAATCTCCTTTAAGGTTTAATGTCTTCAAATCAGTAAGAAAGGTGTGCCCTGGCATTTTTTTTAAATTTACTTGCTCTAAGAAGCTCCTAAGTAATTGGAGCAATCATGAATGAATTCTTCTTTTTCCAATGAAAAATCTGGATCGTTACACAAGAAAGGAGGAATACCTATTTTCTTCAGTACCTATTAGGACATTTACTGGCACTACTGCCTTCCAGAGACACCAAGCTAGACAGAAGCAGAAACTGTCATCCAGATGACTATACTTCATTACAGGATAGGAAGTAACTAGCGGCTCTGAGGATTTACTGGGATTTTTTTTTTTTTTTTTTTTTTTGGTTTTTCGAGACAGGGTTTCTCTGTAGCTTTGGAGCCTGTCCCGGAACTAGCTCTTGTAGACCAGGCTGGTCTCGAACTCGCAGAGATCTGCCTGCCTCTGCCTCCCGAGTGCTGGGATTAAAGGCGTGCGCCACCACCGCCCGGCCTTACTGGGATATTTCATCTCTTTTCACTGCTAAGGAGAGAACCTGACAGTCAGAGGCAAACATCTTCCAGACTGAATGAAATTATTCAAGATTTAACTTTAGCCCTTAATTCACATTTAAATCTACTCTACCGCCGTATTTTGTGTCTTATTGTATAGTACTTACTTCTTCTAGAAATAGTTGTTTTAATGGTTAACATTTCTAGTTCTCCTAAAGGGACAAAAGAGACCCTAACAGCCTGTTAGAGACAACTGTCCAGTCTCTAGAATGCTGCAAGCCTTACAAGTAGTGACAACTTTGGTTCACCAGGAAACAGTCTTGGAAACAGAGATAAGGTCTCCCTCGGGGTTAGAGGGTTTATTTGTTTGTTGCCCACGTTAATAAGATAATACTAACTACAAGTACAAGTGACTCAAGTTCCTCAGTTGTCTCACAACCCCAGAACCTGTGACTGTTTTGCATCATCCACCAACCAGCCACTCTGAAGAGCTGGCCCTCAGGAGATTTTAGAAGGTAGAGCGAATATTTCTGACATGGGAGTGCCTTGTGGCAAAGTTGTACGTCGCTTGCAAGTAGGACCAAAATGTCAAACCTTTCATAGTTCTTAATAATAAAAAAAAACCCTGGAGAAAGAATTAGAAAATCAGGCACTATGCTTGACGGAATCCTTGTGCCCATTACCAGAGCCTCACTAAAAGAATAAAATAAAATGATCTCTGTGCTATCATCCATGTTATAGTCATTTCTATCTTTAACATTCTCTTTTCTTTTTGAAATTTCTACCAAATACAACATGATTTTGTGGCATTTATAAAACTAAATGACTGATGACTTACTGTATTATTGAAGCAAGAATAGCCAAGCTATATTAACATAAAAATCATAGTTCATTTTTAATGTATGTAATAGTAGTCCTTTACATCAGTCCAAAAACTTACTGGCTACAAAGCAGAATTATTCTTTCCCTACAAGTGCAGAATGCTTTGCCCAATCATGAGCACAGCACTTTCCCCACTGGATCAGAACCGCCTATTGCGTTACTACCCTACAGCCAACCTGTGAGCTTGCTGAGGCCATGAAGATGGCCCTACTTGTATTTGTAGTCCCAGAACTTGGCTGTAGGTGATAAACAATAAACTGGTTGAACTATTCCAATCTAATTATGTGTACTATAGTACTGATACTAAATACCAGAAAAAAATGAAAGTTGAAATATAATTGAGCTGTTTAAATCCACTATTCTGCCAAGATAGAAAACACTTTATTTTCTGACTAAATTTCTTGAAACATATTATGAAAACTTAAATGAAGCATACATTGAAGAGTTGTAAACCTCATTAGCTAAAAGGAATTTAACCCTCTCAAAGTCATTTCTCATTCTGGTTGTGGTCACTCAATTCCTTTTTATTATATATTCAAGCTACCAGCCCCAATTAAAAAAAATTCATCAGCTTCCTGGATTTAGAAATACTGATCAATTGCCTATTGTGAACATCCAGGTCCAGTGAGATTATTGGAAGTTTAATGGAAGCTTGAGCAGAAATGATGATTTCCAAATTCAAGTTAACTGCGTAAGACATGGAACTCCTCACCTTTGTTTCCACCTGGGGGATCTGGATCTTGACCGTACCATCCTTTAGCATATGAGTCACCTGATCCACTTTTCACACTGCAAAGAAATAAAACATTAGCAAGTTTGTTTGTTTGTTTGTTTTTAGAGTGCAGTATGCTCTGGCAAATGCAAAGAGAAAGCTGCTTAATTCTTCTGTGCATCTATTTCCTGATCTGCAAAACAGGAATAAGAGCACCCTCCTTAGTAAAATACTGTCAAGATAAAAAGACTTCAAACAAGATCAACAAGTGCTTTCTGTAAAGGACTACATTGAAATTTGTTGTAGATGTTGTACAACATAAGATATGAATTAAGTCTATTAATTCTGTCTTATTAAAATAATCCCTTTAGCCAGGCAGTGGTAGTATACACTTTTAATCCCAGCACTCAGCATGTAGAGGCATGCAGATCTCTATAAATTTGAGACCAGCCTGACTGGTCTACAAAGTGAGTTCCAGGACAGCTAGGGCTACACAGAGAAACACTATTTCAAAAATAAATAAATAAATAATAAATAAATAAAACAACAAAAATAAAATAAAACCAAACAATCCATTAAAATGTAAAAACAGAGCCAGGCAGTGGTGGCACATGCCTTTAATCCCAGCACTCAGGAGATAGAGGCAGGCAATCTCTGTGAGTTTGAGGCCAACCTGATCTACAGAGCAAGTACCAGGACAGTGTAAAAACATAGCTAGGCATGGTAGCATAATCCTAGAACTTGGAAAGCTAAGACAAGAGGATGAGTTTGAAGACAGCCTGTGCTATATACCAAATTTGAGGCCAACTTGGGTTACATAGCAAGACCCTGCTTCAAAAAAAGTAAAAGACATGGTAGACCATCTTGAGGTGTACTATAAATATAAAACACACATCAGCTTTCAAAGGCTGGCCAAATAAAAGAAGGCAAAACACACCTCTAGCTTTGCTATCATACCAACATTGAAAAATAAAACAGTATACTCACAAAATAGAAAAACAGAAAAAAAAAAACTACTCTAGCCTGGTAACATCTCAGCACCCGTGAAAACTCAACCCATATTTAACATTTTATGCTTAAATCTAAAGTATGTACTGTAGGGATAAGTCCCGCCCCTTAGGGGGCGTGTTCGCCTCGGGCTAATGTCTGCCTATAAATTTGGCTAGCAAGCTCCTAGCGCTTGCTTCTGCTTTCCTGGTCTCCGCAGGAACGGTGGTTCTGTAAGTCTATTTCTACATTAAAGCTATATATATATATATTTTTACACTCTGTCTGCATTCGTTTACGCCGCTACATATGTACTGTTTATTCTGACTTGTCCTGCAATTCCCTTTCTGCAATATTTCCAAGGCAACTGCATCTGAGTAGTGGAAGTTCTGAGGCTTCTACTCTCTACTCCTACCACTACTTATCTGCTCACCTTTTCTGGTTTGTCTGACTTACTCTTTTGTTTTCTGGTCAGGGGCCCAACCAGTTTTGCTGTGGAATAATCCTTCAGTATACTGTATAAATTACACTGTAATTGGTTTAATAAAGAAACTGATTGGCCAATAGCTGAACAGGATAAGGTTAGATGGGAAAACCAGAATAAGAACACTGGGAAGAAAGATGGAGTCAGAGTCATCGTCAGGCAAACATGGTGAGGTTACAAGGAGATACAGGGGGAGCAAGATATATTGGAGGACAGGTAAAGCCACGAGTCACGTGGCAATACATAGATTAATAAAAATGGATTAATTTAAATTATAAGAGCTAGTTAGTAATAAGCCTAAGCTATTGACCAAGCATTTATAATTTATATAAAGTCTCCATGTAGGTTCTTTGGGAACTGGCAGGCGAGGAAAAAAAAAGTCTGCCTACACAATATTTAATGTATGACTTAGGTGCAAATCCATTCTTGAGTGAAAGAGGACATTGCCTAAAGAGACTGATCTGCACCCCATTTTAGTCCTGAGGCAGTTTACTCCCACCACCACCCCAGTCAGCCATAATAAAGGAAAAGGACCCTGCTGAGGTAAACTGATTGTAGATTAACACGGAGGGTATTTAATCTTGATTGTCAGCAGGATTTAAAAATCAATTTCACGCCGGGTGGTGGTGGCGCATGCCTTTAATCCCAGCACTTGGGAGGCAGAGGCAGGCGGATCTCTGTGAGTTCGAGGCCAGCCTGGTCTACAAGAGCTAGTTCCAGGACAGGAACCAAAAGCTACGGAGAAACCCTGTCTCGAAAATCCAAAAATAAATAAATAAATAAAAATCAATTTCACTTTTTGTGTGTATGGGTGCAGAGGTAGACTCATGATGATTAGGGTGGGGGGTGTCAAGGCTGTCTTCCTGATTTCAGGTGTTTTTCTCTCACGTTTTCTACAATAAGATCTCTTACTGCCCTGGAGCACACCTGTTTAGCTGGACAGACTAGCCATCAAGCTAACGGAGTCCCAGTCCTGGTTCCCTTCCCCACATTTCTGGGTTTCCCAATATGTACCATTATGCCTAGCTTTTATATGGAGGTTAAGGATCTGAACTCAAGTCCTAATAAGCAAGCACTTTACATAAGCTTAATTAGTAGATCTTCAGATCCAAAACATAAAGTTTCTTCCCCAAATACTGCCTTATAACTTTTCACTTACAGCCTGTAGTCTCCCTGCCTCCCATTTCTGCCATTATCTAGAACAACCCTAACCCCTTGTTATGTCTCCACCACTGCCCAGCATTATTTCACTTCTTTGGCTGGTAATAGAGACAAGAGAATTGTCTGGCTCTCAGTCACTTGCTAAAGCTTCTCATAAAATTTTGAGATTTTACATGAGCACGTGGAATTGTTAGGAGACTATCTTTATGTCATTCCTGGACTGGGCCCTGGCATCTAGTTGTATTTTCTACCCCTTCTTTATGTTTAATCAGATACCTAGTATCTTTTTGTAATCATCAACTACATCAAGAAGGAAACCTTTGAAGCTTAGTTCAACAAGGACAGACTCTATAGTATAAGGCATGGTTTTCAAGATATGGCTTTCAAACTGCCCCAAGGTAGTCACCTTCACAAACAACCATATTTTTAGGACCCTCATTTAAAAATTATAAAGGGGTACAGAATTAATAGGATGCCTAATTTGGGGGAATATATTCCAGTCTTGGTTCTCTTATCATAGACCACCAAAGTACAGAGGATAACAAAAGGTCTGACTCTTACAGGGGCCCCATCAAAGTTACAGAAAGGAGAAACCGAAACATCTGAATAAAAGTATGAGCACGTCTTCTAGAGTAGAGTCCTTCAGTTACGGCATATGGCATTCACTGTCCCTTTTTCATTGTTCTTCTGTTTTTGAGACAGGGTATCAGTATGTTCCCCCACTGCTCTCAAGCTTCTGTGACAGCTTCCAGCGTAGGTAGGACTATGAGCACACACCACTGCACCTGACTGTTATGACAGTCTTTTGCTTATGGTCCCTTTTGTCTAAGGTAAGTGTAGCTACTACTGTTCTCCTTTGGATATTGTTGTAAGAAACATCCTTTTCCATCCCTTCATGGTCAGAATTTGCATCTTTAAAACTAAAATGAATCTGTTGGCCAGCATATAATTTCATCTTGATTTTAAATCTACTAAGACCATTTGTCATATAACAAAAAAATTTAACCCATTTATATTTAAAGTAGTCACTGAGAGATGAGAACTCACTATTCCCATTTTCCATTGGATTCTGCCTATTTTACACTTCCTTTCTTCCTTTCTCACTGTCTTCCTTTGTGGTTTTATGATTCTTGTTTTTATTTATTTTCCTCTTTTTTTTATTGAGAAAAGGAGAAAAAAAAAACAAGTTTCCACCTCCTCCCAGCCTCCCATTTCCCTCCCCCTCCTCCCCCCCTACGCCCCCTCCTCCCACCCTTCTCCCCCTCCCCCCACTCCTTTCCCCCTCCCTCTACTCTAGAAGATGAGACATTAAAAATACACACGAACTACTGTCCAAGCTCCTGAGCATAACAGCCAATATTAGCAGCTCTGAGGGAGCAGTAGCCAGCATAGCAGTGACGGGAGCGACTTCCGTATTCTGCTTCTACAGTGAAAGACCATTTGGGGAGGAAATCAGCATGGAAGCATTGAATTTGAACTATGTTTTAGAAGAAATGGGTCTAATAAACCCATCTAGAATATTCCTTCTGACTACAGTAGAGTAGAGAGTCTTTTCAGGTGCATTGGAACATTTTCTGTAGAAGTCTCAACAAATCAACAAATCCTATCAACTTTATTTTTCTCTTTCCAATGAAACTAAAAATTGTAACTAGTGGAAAACTGAAAAATTCACAAAAAATGTGGAAATTAGATACACGTACAAGACTTACAATGGCTGAATTGGCCAGAGGAGAATAAAGATTATTTAGACAAAAAAAAAGTATGAGCACGGATTTTTGATAATGAAAAGAATAAAAACATAGAAAGGGGTTGGGAAGTTAGCTCCATCGTAATCTAGTGCCAAGAAGTAGAAATAGGCAGATTGCTAACCTATGTAGCACAGTCCAGGCCAATGAGAAACCACCTAAAAAAACAAATGAAGCTGGAGAGAAATAGCTAAAATTCTTATTGAGCAGCCAGGATTATGTGTGGTTCAAATCCCAGGCACCTGTATGGCTGTGTAAATCTCAGCACTGGGGACCAGAGACAGAAAGATCTCTGGGACTTGCTAACCAGTGTAGCTAAATAAGAACCTCCACGTTTAATGAGAGAATCTATCACAAAAATAAGGTAAAATGACTGAGAAAACCATCCCAACATCAACTTTTGGCCTCTCCTTGAAAGCCCAACACATGTACACACAAATATACACAGTGGATGCACCCGAGGAAAGACACTCAGGCTGTCCTCTGGCCTATACATGCACATACATTTGGGTTAAAGATTTTATAGCAGGGCATAGTGGTGTACACCTTTATTCTCAGCTCTTTGGAGACACAGGCTGATTTAGTTCAAGGCCAGCCTGGTCAGCATAGTAATTTCCAGAACAGTCAGGGCTACATAGTGAGAGCTGTCTTAGAAAAAAAAATGAAAAAAAGGAAAAATTTTGTAATATAAATAAGATTT